ATTTTTCAATCTCCCGTGCTTCCTCAGCAACTTCAACAAAATCCTGCGCGGAACCTGAACCAACGCGTCCACAGTGCGCAGAGTGCGGTTCAACAATCTGCCGAAAAAAAACATGAGAATAATGCTACCAAGTTACGAGTCTCTATTTTTAACCAAGAACTGGATTCTCATCCAAGTACCACGTCAAATTCCGAGAAAAATGATCATTATGAACCTTTATCTCCTAGAGAGTTGCTTAAGGCCAAGTCAATATCAGCTAGAAAAGCAAAAAGGGATAGTCGAACGTTCAGCTTGGAGGAGAGAGAACAATTGAAAAATAATAATTTCCTCACTGATGCAGCTAAAATTGGTGATTCGACCGTTTTGGCTAGCAATGATATCACTCAAAAGAAAGACAAGAGAAGAACCAAACTATTTAGCTCAGAAGAAATTAGATCTTTAGGGAGTATGAGTCCCCCTGTGTCTTCGACCTCTCCAATTGAGAAGGAAACCGAAAAAGTCTCGACCGGCGGGAGCGGGACTTCAAGTAATGATCTTTCTATATTTCTTTTTCTCTCGCATTTATAGTTATGTTTACTCATACTCTGTTGTAAATATAAAGAGATGCATCGTTTAAGTTTTAACACCAATCCCTCTTTTGGTATAGTATTGTGATTTCTTACAACTCATCATCGGATAAGGGAATAAAACTCAAACCGTTTCTTATTATTATTTTCTAAATTAGACCTTCGTTCGATTGATGAAGAAAACCCCAGCGAATAAAAACAAGTTCGTTTTTAAAACGTTCTTATCAAATCAAATACATCTCTTCAATGGTATTTGATTATTATGTTTTAAGACATGCCGTTTTTTCCTATGACTTCTTTAATATGCGCCCCATTTATTGTATGTTTTCGTTATATGATCTCTCTTTTACATATTTACTATATGTGGATAGCCCGTATTGATTACATGTAAGAAAAATCAAAACAACGGATATGATATGATATGCAGTATACTCACATATGGCATCTTTATTTTGATAAATTTATAATTAAAAAGCAACCGATTTTTTATAATAATTTACTTTAAAAAAATACTTTCATCTCTTTTATTTTTATATATTTTTATAAACAATAAACTCAAAAATAAAAGAAGTTTAAATTTTAATATTACATTAGAATTAACTTTCTAATTGAATAATAACCAAGTTACAAAGTTTTTATCTATTTTTTGATTTATATAAAGAAAGACTTGTAATGGCTTTTTTTATAATTTCTTTCTTCTTGCTTTATGTTTCTTCAATATTTCACAGATTTATTAATAGCAATTATATTTTAACTATTGCTTACAAATTAACTAAAGTTTTTATACAAATGTATTAAATTACTTATATGATTTATTCTTATTCTTTAATAATACCAATACCATTTTATTATATTACTTAGGTTTTTCAAAACTTATTTTATAAACTTAACTTATTTGTTAATTAATTTTTTTTTACTTCTAAACAGATTGCAAGCCAAGATTATTTATAATCTTTTATATCCAATAATACAATAATACAATATAAATATTATATTATAACTAAACAGTTTACTAGTTACAACATATTATCAATAGTCTAATAATAGATTTGTTTGTAATCCTTGAATTCTTAATATCAAAACCATCATGTTATTATATGATTTAACTATTTACTAGCTAATTTATTACAAGAAAATTGATTTATCAAACTATTACTATATGATATTAACTATTTTAAACTTTTTAAATCTTTTCAACTCTCTAGATAAAATTATAAAAAATTAAAATATTGTTTTATTTTAAAAAGAATATATTACAATTTAATTAAAAAATCAAAGTCAATCTATTATTTAAAAACTGTTATTTCAATATAATTATATGGTTTTAAAAATAATTTTTTTTTTTAATTTTTTTTAAAATGAAATAAGAAAAAAAAAAAAGTTTATATTAGTAAATAAAAACTTTTCAAAATTAATTTCTAGTTTAATTATTTGTATCTAAAATAATTATTTAATTTTTACTATTTTTTTATTAATCAAAACATTTAAAATATTTATAATAAAATTTATACTTATTAAAAAACTTTTTTTCATTCCTTCAATTTTTTAAAAAACTTTCTTTTTAGAAAATTTTAACAAGACAAGTATATAGAGATACTTGTCAAGTTATCTTTTTTTTTAAAAAAACTTTTTTCTTTTTTTACCACTTTCAAAGACAAAAAAATCTTTCTTAGAGCAGACTTATCAATTATTTGAACTAATCTAATAATCCACATTCTTCAAAATAAAAAATTATCTCTATCAATATTAATATAACACTTCTTTTATATTTCAAGTCCTACTATATATGAGCTAACTTTAAGAGTTTGATTAAAAAAATTCAAGCTATATAAAAATAAGACTTGGTTGGATTATTTAAGACTTAAGTATCTTGTTAATAAAAATTATATAAAGAAAGACCTTTGATTTAATATCTTTTTCATTCATACATATAGATATAAAAATTTTCTTAACAAAAACCAAAATCAGTTTATTCTTATCAAAAGATTAATATAATATTTCGACCAATTACATTTCATCAAAATCATATTATTAGCCATTATTTTTTTTTTTTTTTTAACACGACTAGCAAGGCCTTACCCAACGTTGGATGAATTTATTTAGTTCACATATGTATCTTACATGTATTACAGGTAATTACTATCTATGAGCTATTCTAGACTGCCATGGATTATTATCGGATTTTACCCCCATATTGGCTTTTTGCTATCGACCGCCATCTCAGACAAGTCAAGGCTAATGTG